TATTAGTTGAGCATAAGTCCCCATGTGGCTCCTTGTCCCTTGCTTAGCATCCATTTAATTACCTGGAAAAGATTGGAAGAAGGTACTCACCAACTACTACAGCAAATTACCTTGACATATTGTGAGCTGAAATATTTAAAAAGAAAAGAAAAAGATAATTTCATGAAACGAATTCAAAATTTCATGGCTGAGTAAAGACATATGACCTAATCTTTAATTGTATGCAGAAAACTAATATAACGTCATGCAAATTGCAACGCATGTAAAAACATAAATGTTATCAACACATTGCAGCAAAAGGAAAGAGACAGAACAAGAGAAAATACAGAATAAGTTGATACTATATGTCCACTGTAAACATTTGTCACTTGTTTATTGGAAATCATAAAATTCTTGACAATCATATTAACCCTCTTCCTCCAGTAATCCAAGACCAAAAAGCCTATGATATATCTTAACATACAGTCTATTCTATCACCCTGATTTAGGAGAGAGAGTAATTAAGAGAACAGAAAAAAGGATGTGAAAATCCATGAACTGGTTGAAGAAAATGCTTGTTTGCCAAGAAAGTAGGCTGTCCTCGATAAATCTAATTACGCACTAATGCGATCAGACTTATCAACAAATGACATCACATTACCTATAACTTTCTTTGACTTTTTGGGCTTTCTCATTTTTTCTTTAAAGAACCTTGGCCTCCAACTTGTTTCTTCTGCTTTCTTTCTAATATAATTTCTTATTTATCCCCCCAAAGAAAAATGATGAGCATTACGTAAATATTTGAATAGTAGTATGTTCCATATTGATGTTTATGTTGCTGAAATTTAATGTTCTCCCCTGTATTTTCCTAAAGCAACTAAGTCATTAGAAAATGAAAACAATTGAAATTACTCGCTCTTAACCTAAAGAGAATATATCTATCAGATCTATATGGGCAAATACTATCAGGAGTTATCATTCAAAGAGTAACAAAGATACTAATTTCACCATTTCCAAGCAGCAAAAGAATTGCTTTAGTACAAATGAAGTACAAAAGAGACTTTTTTAAGCCAAAGTTCCATACTTTTTTTATATTCCTTCTATATCTTGCAGTTGAATTCAGTTTTGAGCATAAATCATTTTCATACAGCTGCAGCCAATAGTCAAGATCTCTTTTTTCTTTTCTTAAAACAAATAGTTTTTTTTTATGTAGTATATTAAAAAAAAAGCACCAAGGAAGTACCATCTATTTACAAGATATTTATAATTCTGTCAGTAAATTTATGACATTCTAAAAATTCTTCAACCTATAAATGTCACAACCTAACATCAAAGAGCCAAAATAATTAAGGTCTCATATATGCCCAGACACTCAATTAGGCAAGATAAAAGTTGAGCTTCCACCTGAACAACTCTATGCCATTGTTGCTCTTTCTCAAGGATTTGCAATACTCTCTTAAGTGATGCAATAGGAAAGTTCTGCTCCCAAGCCACCCACGCATCAAGAGCACTATAAACAGCTTCTTTGCTATCGTCTAGATCGAGAAGCTGCGCCAACCAGCATTCATCAATCATTCATCAAGAATTTCAGAAAAAAAAAAAATACTTTATCAGAATATTCTGGAAACAAATTCAATTATTTCATTCCAAAAGTCAAGTAATAGAGAGAGTTTATATTCACAAAATATTAATTTCATGTGAAAAAATGTTCAAGAAGCATGTCATACGAAAACATTAACTAAGGAATTCTCAAACCTTGCCTTAGTAACTAGTAGGAAACCTCTTTGGAATGTGAATGCTCTACACAATAGAATGAGTTAGCATAGCTCTCAAAATAAATGGCATGAATTTGACTACCAAACTACAGCACATGGAAGAACCGAGGAACTCGACAGCCACAAAATCTAGACTCTGATTGGATTAGGCATATAAAACTGAAGAATCAACAAGTGTGCTGTGCAGGACAACTAGAACAAGTATTTGCAGGTCCACCTCTTGTAGAAAAGAACATATATCAATTTTAAGAAAACATAGCGTTGGAGTAGTCATTTGCATCCTAAGATCCCGACATTCTTAATAAATCTTAGAATCACATGTTAGATGCAAATTAAAAGCCTAAAGGTCAAAACTAGGAGTTAACAAATGACAGAGAAAAACTAAATTCAACATGTCTCTTTCATTCAAAGGAAAGGTGAAAACCCAACATTGCAGAACAACAAGAATACTAACCGTCCTCACTAGAAAATTTATCTTGTCCTTTCTCGAAACATTCTCTCCAATTTGATGCTTTCCCATGCTAGCATTATTTTCTGAACATTGACTAATACCTTGATTGTCCTGGAATATAGCAAAACAGTTGTAGAAATCAATTAAGTATTCTGTCGTGATAGATGCTGAAAGCCACAAGGCTGTAAAAAAATTTAATCAGCAATAAATATGTTTAGAACCAGAAATATAGCGAACAGGGTCAAAATTCTGCCTACTTGAGTTAGCCTCAAGTTCAAGTTTGGCTGAAGCTCAGAAAAACCTAAAAAATTTGTAGCTCCAGCTCAACTCAAGAGACAAGTGATAAGGCATAAAGTAGACCACAGGCTCACCCATTTGCCTTGTAGCCTAGAAAACACATGGCTAACTTAAATGTAAAGCCCTTTCAGGGCATAAGGAAGGAAAAATTATAATTACAGACAAGAGGTTCCTGACCATCCTTCATTACCTATGGTGGAATTCAATCCCACATAAAAAAGAGAGGAGAGGGAGTCGGTGAGATGACTATGGAATAAAAAATAGCAGTCATTTAAAATGCAAAATCTGACAGTTCAACATCAAATCTGTTTTCTTTCTATATGTTAACTTATGATCTGATAATCACTTCTCTATCGCCGAAATTACACTATTTATTTCCAATAAACAATTAGCACTATGAAAATGACTAATAAAACTTACGTACTTGTGGCCTTTAAGAAATCTAGGAGTCATGTCCATTTTCGTCATCCTACATGCAAGCTTCATAAAGTTGACAAAATCCCTTCTGACTATTCTTTTATATTACAACATAGTTGCAGATACATATCAATCATTATGACATACTCTAGAGTACCAAGGGCACTTTCTCCAACATAGAAAGAGCAGGTTCCAATTGATACCAGGAATTATTTTTTAGTTTTAAAGTTATCTTCTATATGTGTATATGGTTAAACATAAAAGCACGTGTGGTTAGTTGAAAATAAAAACAATTAGGAAATAGAAAGTTTTTTTCCAACACAAGTTTGAAAATAACAAAATATTATTTAGTGTTCAGAAAAAAACTATATTTTTTTATAGTTAAGCACCAAAAATCAGGTGCTATTATATCTGTTTTTAAGTAAAAATACTTGTATGACCAAAAAAAAGTAAAAATATTTGTACCATAACTGTAATTAGAAAATATCTTTATGTACCAAACAGCACTTAAAGTTAAAAAATTCTTTAAGTCATAAATCCAAAATTTTTTGCATAGCGAATCACTATTTGCATCAACCGAACAAGGACAAAAAAATTGAAATAACATTTAGAGAAAATAAATAATTAAGTGATCATTCTTTCCTTCAAAATAGTGTTACACTGCCTGGAGCAAATAAATTTTGTAAATCCTACAGAACTTGTAAGTAATTCCCTTTTTCATGTTTGGCAAATTTATTATAGAACTCTGATAGCAAAGGATTCTTTCAAAATCGAACAAGTATTTTGAAATTTTATCATTTTGTTGGATAAGATCTCATCAAAATTGAATGAGATCTGCAAACAAATTCAACCAAAAAGAATATAAAATTCTTTAAGTCCAAAATAGCCATCTTTTAAGAAGAAAAAAAATTAACTCTATAAATTAATATAAGTGGATTAAACATGAATTTTTCATTTGGAAAATGAATTCTTAATCCTGTACATGTAGACAGAATATATTCCTCATTTCATTTTAAACTGAAAGTTAAAATTACCGCAGCTTCAGCAACATTTTTATTAGACATCTGAGCTTCCAGCATTGAACTGCGACTATAGTTCATAGTTTGAATTGTGACTGCTCGGAATTGAGTTGACTGACCCAACTGTACAAGAGTAAACAAGTTAGTTAAACCAAAAAGGACTATCGTGGATAATTCTTGAACAGGATATTGGACATTATACTTGCTTAGGAGTTATAAGGCTATGGAACTCCCATAATTCATTAAGCACTCTCCTTTTGGAGTTAAACTAACTGTATAATCTGGAATCCTAGCATCTTGAGTAAGCTAGATAAATTAAAGAAAGACACTTTGGATGAGCTCATGAGCTTCAGAAATCTAAGAAACTAGAATTAGTCAAAGCTTTTTCAGCCAAATATTAATATTTAATAGTGCAAGTAGCATACTTTCTATCAGTGTTTGTTAAATCTAGACCACAAGCTGGTTAATGAAATCACCAGCCAAACAATTATTTGTACACCAGAAAACAAATGATTAGTCAAAACACTGTTCAACTTCAAGCCAACCTCATTTTTTCAGATTTAGAGTGAAAAGAACTGTATTTCCTTCACTAGAGTTTATTTTACCCTCTCTGTAAGAGCAGAGGTTATCTAAAGGAAATTTTTATTTTAAGGCCTTTCTCTCTCCCTCCCTCCCAACCCCCTTCCCTGCCACATCTCCCCTCATCCCTCCCCAAACCCCCCAACTCCCTGGGCCAGCCTTCCCTCTTAATTGGCATGTAAACCTTTTATAGATTAAAGTCGCTACATAAGTAGCTTACCCCAAAATGATGATGAAACAGATGGATTAAGTCCTTGTTACTGCGAATGAGTTCTCCCCTTCTGACAAACAATAAGAAATTTCCAGTCATTGTTGCCATATAGATGGTATAATGTACATTTAACAATAAAAAAAATCACAAGCTCTATCAGACACCATAAATCTGTAAGGAAAGCATATAATTGGATAAGATAACAGGGCAATGCAACTTCACTAGCAGACAGAACGATTAGAAGTTAATCTTTTAGTTATTGACTCTGCTAAAGTATGTAGGGAGTTGCATAAAGCAGCAAAGAGCCCTCCAGTGAAAACAATTGCACAATCAACATATTACATCAAAGAATAAAATTTCATGAAAAAGTCCAATGAACCAAATGTTCAGCAAAAATAAGTCACAAAGTCTAACAGCAAAACATTTCACTAATAAATTTCAGCTGCTAAATGCAACACACCTCCAACTTATCATTTAAAACAATAAAAAGTTAATAGCATAGAACTTCACCTGATTATCCTAGAATCAATAAAACTGCAGGGCTTTGGGACGCCTGAAATATATTTGTAACCATTGTTATAGCTAAAAGTGACTAAGACCATTACAGAATACCAGAAAAATAAAGTTAAACTCAAATATGTTAAACTAAAAACCATTCCTATCCATTTCTTTTTTTTTTCTATCGCTTCTTCGCCATCAATAACATAATAAAGAAATGATAACGCACGCAACAAAGTGCATAATTCATACATGTAGACCCGTCGGTCTTGGATGGATTGACTGGTTTGGCTCCCTTGTACGCATCTCCTCCAAACAGAAACTTGAATGTCGCAGCCAAATCGATGAGGGAAGCTTCTAGGGCTCTATTCACGCCCAAAACGGCGCCTTTCATGCCAGTTCTGGGTATCATGGACATGAAATTTGCCATGAAAGTAAGTTTGTGAGTTGTGAGGTGTGACGAGAGAGGGTAATTTGGTACGTGAAGAAAAAAAACGCTGGAGCTCAGTTCAACGGTTTATTCTATTGAACCTCACACATACAAGAAACAAGTTGTTGTTTTCCTGCCGGTAGAGACACAGCGCAAGCACAGAATGTCCGACGGCTGCCTAAACCAACCCGGCAACCAATTTCCGGCGCTGGTCACTCAATATCCAGCGCAGATGCCATTGAAGGTACAGCTCCTGCGCATAGAATAGGGATGGACAGAAGACGGCAGATATACGCTCTGCTACTAGTTTTTTTTTTTTTTTTTTTAATTCCCGGCGCCGTCTCCTCAACTCATTCCCACCGAGTTTTTTAATTCTGAAAATTTTTATACAAACCATTTAATTAAAATTAAATTTTAGTTAAAATTTCAAAACATTTGATAATTTATAATAATATTTTTGACTGATGGAGAGCCTCAAACCTTGAACTTTGAAGTATCACTGACTTAATAATTAGGTACAATTATTTGCAATAATATTTAAATATAATTTAATTATAATAAATATAAGATAGTATTATAAAAGTATAACATCTCATATATTAATTAAAGTTTAATAATTTAAATAAAATCAAAAATAAATTTAAAAGCATATTAATTATATATAATAAAGGGCGCAAATAAATTATTTAATTTATATATGCTCAATACCTATCTTAATTTTATAACTTTTTATTATTTCATAATTTGTTAGTTACAAATTTTACCTATATTAAATATAATGAATTAATAGATAATTTGTTCTTATACATATTTTCTTATTAGTTACAAATTTTACCTGCATTAAATAAAATGAATTAAAAGATAAACTTGTTTTTATATCCATTTTCAACGTAAACCATACTATAATTTTTTTAAGATGTTAATTTTCATTTAGTAATTAAAGATAAAAACAATAAACTTACCCAATGAAAGCACCGAGTTTCTTCATTGATTTTTCTTCACCAATTTGATTTTTCTTTTTCACTAGGAAATCGATCTTTCTTATGTAATTTTACTTGATCGATTTGTTTCTAAAAGCCTTCTACCAATAAAATTTAAATATTTATATACTTTTTACTTGTAGATAGGCTTGATTCAAACATTTTTGTTTAATTCCTCCTCCATTAATGGAAGAGAAAGGAAAAGACATTTTTCACTCTCAAACTAAGGTTTTTACTTTTATAATTTATAAAATATATAAGTGGGTATTTTAAATAAAATTAAAAGTTTGAGAATTAAATTACCACTAAAAGATATTTTTGGAACTAAACTGTAATCTAATGGCAGTTTACGTAAGGATTAAAATAGTCTTTATGCAAAAATACTTACTAAGCATGGAATTTGAAGAGTTTGATCGTCCCGTTGAAATCTTCCATCTATTTTCACCAGACATTTAATTCTCAGTCAATTTATTATTTCCAGAGAAAGGAATTGGTGATATCCCTTGTTTGGGACGCTGTTGGAGCCTCTTGTAGTGGTTGTGATCAATCACACATTCATCCTCCTTACTCCTCAACTTCTCTTTTTTGGTGGTGGTGGAGGAAGACGACACTATGTATATATATATATATATATATATATATATATATAAAATTTAATTTTTTAAATTCATCCATTACAAAAAAGCAGCATTGTGAATCTCGTTGTCATGTGTTAATAATAAATGAATAAATTTAAATATTTAACAAGTAACAATTTCCTTTATTCATAATCTCCTACTGGAAGAGAAAAAAAAAAAAAAAAAAGAAAAAGAAGGTTCTTGGGCCTGGGCCTTTGTTTTTCTTTTTTATACAAAATCTTAAGTTTATTATTTATCCTCTCTTTCCCAGCTGCCTGTACTGTCTTCCTCTTCCGCTCTAGAGTCATATCTTCAAGCCATATGATTTATCAGGGCTTTTCTGTTCTTATTTGAAAAAGACCCTTTTTGATATTTCCATCTTTTTTTTTTTTCCTAAAGACAAATAATCGAAATGCAAGTTCTTGCATGCCATTCTTCCTCCCTCAATTCTCGTGGAAATAGCTTACTCCTTAGCAGACGGGAGCTCTTGTCCTCTGTCTCTTCAAACATTTCTCTGCGCGACGTCGTTTCTTCCCAGTCCATTTCAACTCTAAGGTTTTTAGCAGTTCGATTTTGTTCTTTTATCGGTGTACTGGAGTAATTATTTTCTTTACTTTCTGAGTCTACTCTTCTAATTTCATCTCACTCTCGTACATTTCTTTTCTTTTCTTTTTTAAATGTATTGATGTTATTGGGTCTTTCTGGTAACAGCAAGCTTTCACCTTTAAGCATCTAAAATGTTACAGGTTGATTTTCTTTTTATATAATGTCAAGTTATATATATATATATATATATATATATATATTCATTGTATACCTGCATTTGCTTAACTTCGATTGTCCATGTTTTGGGTTGTAAGCAGCACGTTGGGTCTGTTATATGTTTGTCATTGATGCTAATTTAAGTTGTTTCTTCTTTTTTCTTTTAAACGTTGGTTTTGATTTGCCGTTTTGAAGAATGTTAACTTTGTCCCTGTCATACAAAATATTAGGGCTGGTCAAGATCAGTCTTCCAACTTGGGTGATTTGATACTCAAAAGCATTCCTTTGACCACAAGGCGGATGTTGTTAACAAGTCTTGCCCTGCATTTCTCTTATTACCCTTCGAGGTACTTACCAGGTCCGCACATTTGGCCTTTCTTCTCTTCCATAAATTTCTTGTTTGTCCTAAGCTTTGGTTTGTCTGATTTGGTTGTGCCTTTAATTTCTAATGAATTGCATCTTCCATTCATTTCGTGGGGTTTCTTCTCAGAAGTGGTCGTGATTGAATTTAGTCAAAAGTGTGTAAATATCTTGTCTTAAAATTTTCTTGGTGGTGAAGATGCAAGTATGCATTGGCGACTAGCTTTAGCCTGAACAGTCATTGTTATCTGAAAGTTATGAAGGTAAAACATAATTTGTGGAAGTTCTCGTGTGGTTGGCTACTTCCTCATTTGTTACTCGTTTCAAGTTTTATATTATATTTAAATTTTTCTTTGGGCGGACACAAGTTTAGTTAATTTTCTATGTCCAATGAATATAATGCCTTATTTGACATTATCTTCATTTGTTCTCTGGATAAAGTATCAAGATTTCTACTTGGGTCAGTATGTTATCATACTTGTAGTACTCAATTATGAAAACAGGATTCGTATACTTCTGTTGATGTCCGAGTATGCGATGAATTTTTGGCATGCAGCCCAAGCATTGGGTGATCCAAGTGTCACAGTTGAAGATGTAACACCTCCCATTTTCCCTTCTGGGGCTCTATTCCCTACTGAGGTTCGTTTTTACTATGTTATTTAATTTTTTCCTTCTTTTAAATATCATTAGTGCAGTTACGAGTTTATGCTTGGATGATTCCTGCTGTATCTTAGCTAATATGAGTATAGTTGGCAGGAAAGAATTGTTGAACTGTTTGAGAAGAATACATACTCTGTTGTCAATATATTTGATGTAACATTGCGACCCCAGCTTAAAGTAACTGGCATGGTTGAGGTATTTTATCTCTCACAGGAAAATATTTCAGTTAATTCTCTGATATCAGTAAACATAAAAAAGCTTACTTACAGTTGTGATATATAAAGTTTGTATAAAATTTGCAGATTCCCGAAGGAAATGGTTCTGGAGTGGTCTGGGATGAACAGGGACACATTGTAACAAATTATCATGGTAAGAACTAGAGGATAACATATAATTACATAACAGTTTTGAAGATTATATGGTGTTCAAATACAGTAGACAGGTTTCTCTTGCAATTGTCTGCTCTGCTAAGATGGTTAGACATTAGTCTTTCTGTTACGTGATTGTGTCCATAACTGATACCTGCTTCAAAATATCATCTTTGCTTTAACTCATGAACTGTCATAACCTGCATCTTATTCTTATTCTTCCTTGTGGATTGCAAGGTGCCGTCCTTTCTTTAATACATCATAAGTTTCAACTTTTCCATTTGCTTTACAATTTCTAGTGATAGGCAATTCACTCTCAAGAAATCCTAGTCTTGGTCAAGTTGTTGCACGAGTTAACATTCTGGCAACAGAAGGGTGAGTCTTTCAGTTTCCAGTAATTTTACTGGTAAAAATCGAACAATCTCATTTGTATACTCATCTATCTATCTCTCTTTCTCTCTTTCTCTCTCTCAAAGGGTGCAGAAGAATTTTGAGGGCAAGCTGATTGGGGCTGACCGTGCTAAGGACCTTGCTGTCTTGAAGGTATGTCTTCTTTCTGAAGTTTTTTTGAATGCTTGTCATCTGCATAAGTAACTTTTAAAGAATGTACTCTATATGTAATTAATTTAGGAGAATTAAGTCAAAAGGTATTCTGGTAAATATGTTCTGTGTAATCAATTATCAGTTTCTTTTCTTACTCTAGAAAACTTATTTATACAGGGCCATATTATTCAATAATAAACATAACACAGTATTCTTGACATGGTGGCAGAGTTTTAGGAAAAATACTCTTGCTCCACAACCCTTTGAGTTTTATTGCTGAAATAAGAAAAAACACAAAAACCTTATACGGGGTTAGCCTTCGTAACTGGCCACCACTACAACCTCTGCTTGCCAGCAAACCTAGTTGCTGCCACCTTTAGTTGTGCGCACCAGCAAGGCAACGCGCCTCACCCAGACACTTCCACCTACAACTGCACGCACCAGCAAGTCAAGGCGCCTCACCTAGCGCGTCAGCCTCCAACTGCACCTGCCACCCAACCGCTCACCTCCAGCTGTGCCTCTGCCTCTAGCCGTGCATCTGCCACCCAGCAGCAAACCCCCAGATGTGCACCAGCGATCTAGTGCGTCCCTCAAGCCGAGCCTCTGTCCAGCAGCCGCCATTGATTCTGTCCAGGGGTGCAACTGTCTGTCGAGCCACATATTCAGCCTCGTAATCTTTTTTTTTTTGAAATAAAAAGTGTGAATACATATATTAATATGATACAGTACGCATATCACAGAGACTTAAGATGCCAAACCCTCGATAATTCAAGAACCACCAGGAATGATTAAACAGTTACCAGAGTAGTTTCTGAAGAAGATGTGATTAGATAGTTTTTAGTAGTTATTTACAATTTATTGTATTAGATAAGCAGTTATGTTTTCTTTTCTATTTAAGGCTTGTATGTCTAAGGTACTGGCAAGAATAATTTTCAGCAATAAAATTGTGGTTGATTTCTCACCCTAAGAGAAATGTCTTTGAATCTATTCTTGTTCTGATTGGGACCATATTAATTGGTATCATAGCAGGTATGTCAACTAATAAAGAAAGAATTGAATAATTGGAAGCAAGTGTAGGGGGTCTGTAGGATCACCTCAGCCGAACGGAAATTGGTGTGGCGGACAAACTCCACGCGATGGAAGAAACCCTTCGACGATTGATAAAAACTTTGAGTCTCAACAAGGAAGGC